TTTTCTTTAGGCTGCTCCTTGGATTAGGGGTCGCCACAGCGAACTAAGTCGCAGACTTGGCAGTTATTTTTAGGCCGGAAAGGTGGTAACATTACTTTTTGAACCTGACCAGTAGCTTGACAGTCCAAACAGAATTAAACTATTTTTAATGAGCTATCTACAACAGGTAAGATATTATTTATTCATAACATTTCCACAAACTATTGCTTTATCTTAAGTTGGAAAAATGATCTTGCCAGCTACAGCATTAGTAATATTTCACTTAAAACAATAATTAACCTGCTGAGGACTCGTCCAGATCAACGTAGCAATGTACCTCAAAACAAATAACCTTCAAATCTCAGTATCAGCAATAGTATTTGTGTTGAATGAAAGGCTGTGTGAGTGTTTGTGTCACACATTTAAGTGTTTGGCAGCAACTTCTTTTTCTTCTTCCTCTTTTGTTTTTAGAAAAGCATGTGTTTTGTTGACAGGTCAGTAAAGCGGCGTGCATCCTTACAACACAGAACCTCATGAGGACTCTGCGCTCCAAAGAGGCTGCAGCTTCGGTCAACATTAAAACCTGGCCGACAATCATTGATACGGGTAATAAAGCCATTCAACCAATCACCACCACATGTTGAAACTGCATCTTATTAGTTTTCCACCACTTCTCCGTTCCCGTAAAAGTTAATATTGCTCAACTTTATTGTGTGAGTTCACCATAAACTCACCAGATGATATTTACAATTGCACAATGGCATAAATCTGTCTGATTTAGTGTTGGCATTTAGCATTAAAGGTTCAGGTTTGTGATGTGCAAGATAAAGTCAGATATGTTGATTCAGGATAAGTAGTTTTGCAACATTTAAACTTCAAACAGAAAGAAGGGCATTTCTTTAATAATTATCAACATTTTTTGTGAAACCGCTAGATTAGCAGGCATGCTTGTTTAAAATCTTCATCAGTTGATGCTTCCTGTTTATATATATATATATATATATATATATATATATATATATATATATATAGTTATATAATAATAACAAAAGCAGCTTTTTTCCTCCTTTGTGCAAGCTGTTGCTGTTATTTTTGAGTGCAAAGCTTCTATTTGCAATATTTAAATGAAACAGGCATGCCCTATTTTACTGCAAGCATCATTAACAATCTAAATCTACAGTATCTGTTTTTTTTTTTCATCTTTGTTGTACCACAGTTGCTCTGTCCATATGCCGTTCTGTTTACCTTGTTCCATGTAAAGCCTGCACTGTTCTTGTTTTTGCAGATGACCTTCCTCGCCGCCGGCCCCCACAGATCTACAAGCCGCCCACAGCAGAGATGATAGCTTATCTGGACTTCAGCGTTTCCACCACAGGCATGCTCACTGGTGTCAAGGTGAAATGTGCTACTTTTTTTTTTACAAGTTTCTCACCATCGCAGGGATGTGTTGGGTCTTCACAGTTCAGAATATAAAAGTTTCATTAAGGATGTGGAAAGTGAAGTTTGGCAGCAATGTTTTTATTTACCTGCCTGCTTTAAGTATTTAAGGTTTTCATCGATTTTTAACTGAAGAAACGTGAATGTTCACTAATATGTATTAACATTTTAGCAGAACCACTATAAAACAATTTTCCTAAGAGTGTTTTTGGTTTTAATAGAAACACCGATTTTTTTCAAGGATCTAAAACAATTGCTCGTTTTTGTGTGTTTGTTTGTGTCAGATCTCTCATGCAGCAGTAAGTGCACTTTGTCGCTCCATAAAGCTTCAGTGTGAGCTGTACTCCTCTCGTCAAATAGCCATCTGTATGGATCCCTACTGTGGTCTGGGCTTTGTCTTGTGGTGCCTTGCAAGGTACGGCAAACCATCACTTTCTAAACATGGTGTCCGTTTCTTCTATCTCTCATTCATTAACCCACATTTTTCACTTTTTTTTTTGGTCTTGCAGTGTTTACTCTGGTCACCAGTCCGTCCTGATCCCTCCTTTTGAGCTGGAGAGCTGCTTGTCTCTGTGGCTGAGCACGCTCAGTCAGTACCGTATCAGAGACACCTTCTGCTCGTACTCTGTGATGGAGCTTTGCACTAAAGGACTGGGTACTCAGACCGAGTTACTCAGGGTGAGGCATCCACACTCTGAGAGGCAGGAATTGTAACAAAGTTGCAGATTTGATAGTCGTCGCTGTGTTTTAGGCTCGTGGTGTGAACTTGTCGTGTGTGCGGAGCTGCGTTGTGATAGCAGAGGAACGACCTCGTCTCGCTCTCACACAGTCCTTCTCTAAGCTGTTTAAGGACGTGGGACTGTCCTCCAGGGCTGTCAGCACTGCTTTTGGCTCCAGGGTTAACCTTGCTATCTGCCTGCAGGTGCGCCCAGCATCAGCATCTGGCTTCACGTACACGCTAGCTCACCGCTGTAATAAACCTGTGTGACATTTCTGTGTTACAGGGCACCACCGGTCCTGATCCCTGTACAGTGTATGTGGACATGAAGTCTCTACGCCATGACAGGTGAGGGCGCAAGTGTCATTTCAAACAAGCTCCAAAGCTGAAATAAAACTGCAAATAATTAGTGGCTTCAACTGAGCTTTAGCAAGATAAATCAAATGTAAGCACGTAAGTTAACAGTTTAGTAAAAAGAAATAAAAATAAAGGAAATATGCACGTTATTTCTGTCATTTGCAAGAATTTGCATGTCTTAAATAACTTTGGTACTGTGCTGACAAAGTCTAGAAGAATGTACTAAATTTACCAAAAAGGTTGCATCATCAGACCACAGAACCTGTTTTTTATTGTTCGCCTCATTTTAATCCATCTTAAATTATCTCCAAACAAGCAAATGTTGGCACAACATTCTGGATCTTGTTCTACTGTGCATGCAATAAATTGTACCGTCATTTAAAGCAACAGTAATAAAATTTATTTACGTATTTATTTATGTATATACTTTGTATGTGTATATATATATATATATATATATATATATATATATATATATATATAATGTATAAAGACATTTTAAACCCTTCCCACACAATTGCAATATTCTAAACAATGTTTCTAAACTCTCAAAGAGCACAGAATGTTATGATTTTCCTCTCTTTGCCTCTGCTGCTCTCAGCCACTCGCAAGCATTCTTGGCCACGCCCACTTCTCCGATCTGCACAGAGAACAGCTGATCAGCTGCAGCAGGAAGTTTATCCTGCAGTAAGGACTGCACAGAGGTGCAGGAGGAAACTTTTTCTGCAGCTCTGGGCTGCACAAAGGTGCAGCAGGTGCTAAATAATTTTAAATAATTTATTTAAAATAAAAATTCCATGCCAATCATGTGGCTCATCCATCAGTCAACCAATTGTGTGTCATGTCCAATCTTGTTTTGAAAAACCGCGATAGAGCAAGTCTGCGAAAAACGAACCGCAAAGTATCGAGGGACAACTGTATCTAAATTTGATCATGTATTTAATTTGGTTAAAAAATAGTCTTAATTTTACTAAATATGTATGTATGTATGTATGTATGTATGTTTTATTTATTCATTTCATTTCATCCAAACAACAAATATAATACAATTTAAAGAAAAGAAAAAAGATGTACAATCACCGAAATAAAATGAAAGGCAGCAGAAGAAGAATGAATTCTTATAATATCTGCCCCTTGTCCCCAAAATATATTCCAAACAAAATTACTATACAAAAGCAAGATGAATTTATAAAAAATAAAATAAAAAAAATAATAATAATTTAAAAAAAAAAAACTTAGCTAAAATATAAGATCAACTGTAAACAATTTTTATGAACTCACATTATACTTAATATTTAAAAAAAAAAAAAATTTTTATCATCCTCTTGAATATGTACATAGTTTTGGCATTTTTAATATCAACCTCCAGATCATTCCACAATCTAATACCCTGAGATCTAGTGGATCGCATCTTCAGACTGGTGCGACACCACGGCTTCACAAACATCTCCATCCCCTTAAGATAATAATTACATTCTCTTTTAACAAATTTCCCTTGAATGTTAGTAGGTAGTATGTTTTTGTTGGCCCCATACATAAACAGTAAGATATTGTAATCAACCAAGTCATAAAATTTTAATAACTTTAGCTGATGAAACAATATGATCCTTCCACAGGTAATATGTATATAAATATGACTAAGTGTGCCCATTTGGCTTAAGACACAATATGTCTTGGGATATGTTGTCCATTTCAGAGTGAGGCTGGTGGAGAGAGGAGCACCTCAGAGTCTTCCACTGATGGAGTCTGGCAAAGTGAGATACAGTGATCCATTTCAGTAGCATAGATTGTGAGCATGAACTCCATAAAAAGCCATGTTGATGATGTATTTTCTTCATTTTCAGATATTGCCCGGTGTTAGGGTGATAATTGTAAATCCTGAGACCAGAGGCCCACTTGGTGATTCTCATCTGGGGGAGGTAAGAGATGGCATTCTTTTTCTTTTTTTTTTTTATCACATGTAAGATGAACCCCATAACCCTGGTGAGGTGGTGTTTTAGGTGAAACTAGCATCATTTGTGTTGCTGTCTTAGATCTGGGTGAACAGCCCTCACAGTGCCAGTGGTTACTACACCATCTACGGAGAGGAGAGTCTTCAGGCCGACCACTTCAACACCAAGCTCAGTTTTGGAGATCCACACACTTTATGGGCCAGAACTGGATACTTAGGTTTTGTGAAAAGGACGGAGCTGCTGGATGCCAGTGGAGGTAAATATACAGATCCAACACCAAGCATCAAGACAAATAAACTGGAGTCACACAGTTTTAGTTCAAACTTATAACATTTATTTAGAAGATGGCTTATTCCTTAAGGAACTGATGAGACTTTTTACTTGACTTCACACTTCTTTGGATTGTTCATCTCCTTTGCATTTTGCCGTCAGATCGGCACGATGCTCTGTTTGTGGTGGGCTCTCTGGATGAGACACTGGAGCTACGAGGGCTGCGGTACCACCCTATTGACATTGAAACATCTGTGTCACGAGCTCACCGAAGTATTGCTGAGAGGTAAGAATGCTTTGAATAATTTTCTACCTTAAAAAGCCCCCTTTCTTTGTTTTTCAAAAAATAAATCTTGACAGAAAAATTGACTTGGAAGATCTCATCTTCTTTATTTGCTAAAGAGCACATTTTCATTAGTGGAACTTTGTGAAAGTGTGGGACAACTAAAACAAAAATATTTTGCTTTTAATAGAGACCAAAGTGGTTTAATAAAAAAGAAAGTTAGCAATTTTTTGATTATATTTGGACACAGATGTATTCTTTTAAGCTAAAGTAATAAATGACTATTTCTAGTCATATCACAGTTTAAACAACTGGATTTCATTTTTTTTAAATTATAACCTAATAGAGAGATCTCTCTTTAAAATAATTTGTTATTGCTGTTAAGCACCTTATTCTCATTCCTCCCAGTGCTGTGTTTACATGGACTAACCTGCTGGTGGTGGTGTCTGAGCTGTGTGGTTCAGAGCAAGATGCTCTGGACCTGGTGCCGCTGATTACAAACGTGGTCCTGGAGGAGCACCATCTCATAGTGGGTGTGGTGGTTATTGTGGACCCGGGAGTGATACCCATCAACTCCAGAGGAGAGAAACAGCGCATGCACCTTCGTGACTCATTCCTCGCTGACCAGCTGGATCCTATCTATGTTGCCTACAACATGTGAGCGCTTGTGGTGATTTGGGTTTGTTTCACAATCATCCACCACCATCGGCAGCATTGTGGCTCAGCAGAGGGTGTAAAACAGAAAAGCATGATGCACCAATAGTCATCCCTGTGGGACACCAGCATTTCTTGGCCACTGCATGTCTGTGACCAGATCTGCCACATTTGGGGTTATTCACTGTGTTTTTATACGAAGATAAAACTTTGTGAATGGGACATGTACTGCAAAACGAAAAGAAAAGCAAGATCCCCAATGTTTTTTGTTTGTTTGTTTGTTGTTTTTTGAGAGTGAGAAAGGGCAAAATAACACAACAGGTCACTTTTATAAATAGTCATGTCTTAGTGAAAATCCATACTCTCATTCTTTAGCTACCACTAATCTCTTTTTGAATTAATTAAAAGCATCTAAACTTAAATCAACAACTGCAAATATTTTTTCAATATAGCTTTTACACAAAAGCATGAAACTACCCCCTCCCCCTCCTCTCCTCCCCCATATTGAAGCCAAATACCGGTAGATTTTTCTGCTCTGATACATATCCTGCCTTACAAATCTTCAGCCATACATTCCTCTCTTAACTTTTACTGACTTTGCTATTAATGGCTGTTTATTCTTTGACTAAAAAAGTAAATTCTGACAGATATTACAAGGGATCAAATTAAAAAGGAACGAGGCCATATTCTGTACTGTAACAACGAGGGTCTCCTTGTATTTTAGATACTGTACGTTACTGTACATATGTTTGTATTTGTATAAATGTATAAACACGTTACTTGCATCTCTCAGTTGGTGGTTTCTGGATGGATTACTTAGCTTGGAGACCATAATATTAGCAGAAAGAGGATTGTAAATATGATTTAATGGTTGAAAGTACTTCTGATGTGGAGTATTATCTGAGTGATGGTGAAGATAAATAACTTTAAAGCTTTGTTAGTCATACAGTTGTAAAATTGCACTTTTTCCCCAAAAATTGTCTATTTTATTATAACAATGAGGCATTATAACTCGTGGTTAAGGAGCTTGAATGCTGTTGAAGAATCTGTGTGGAGAAACTTTGAGTTTACTACTATTACTGTTAAAGTCAAAAACTTTCCCTGAAAATGTCTGCAGAGAAAACTAGAACCCATGTTATGACTGTTTGAAGGCAGCCAGGCTATTTAATAACCTTAAAGGTCCACCATTCTGTTCATATTCATTGCTTTTATGTTGCCAAACAGGCATGAACTTCTCAGTTTGTACAACACAATGGAACGTTAACGGGTTTAGTCTGTTTCCTCAAAATACACAAATGTTCAAACTGTGTTTTGTGTTTGTGCAGCTTTGTAAATAATTAATTTGAACTCCATAAGCATTCTTGTATGTATTATAGTCAGCAGAGGCAAATCGACATGTGTCATAAATTATTTTCTGCACTCAGTCGTTGACTTTTTAAGAATTTTTGACTGCATCTGAGCCTCATTTAAACATCATTTATTGGCAACAAATCAAGATAAAAGCATAAAATGCATCAAGATTGTTTTAAATATGTTTTTTCTTTGCTGCAATGGAGTTCTTTCCTATTTTTACAGTATTCCAGTGAAGAACACCTAACATAAACCTGCTAATACGTTTTAATTATTTTAAGACTTTTTAAGTCCCATAAAAAAATCAGACAGGCTAAACCCAGTTTTGTCAAGGGTGTTATCTGTTAAAGGTAAACAAGAGTAATACATTCCTTTATGCATTTTGCACTGGAGGTACTAAAGTAAACATTACTGTGTGAAATAAAATGATCACCTTTTCATGCTACATTAAAAAGACAGTCCAGATTTTTTGAAGTGGAGTTCTTTAGAAAGGTTAAGACAAATTATTATTTCACCAGTTGTACATAGCTGTTTGAACAACCTCAGTTTGGAAAAACCAAGTTTGTATCTGACTGAATTGAGTTGTTTCATGACATCAATCCACTCTGGTCTTGACGTTCTCAGTGGTTACCTCATCAACCCAGACAGAAATGCACACTGTTTCTCCAAACTGAGTTAATTTGTGCACTATCTACAACAGGTAAGATATTGATTGTTCCTAACGTGTCTTCAAATCCCCACTAGAAAAAAAAATCTGAACTTCTGTTTCAAGAGTGATGGATATTTTTTAAAATATATACTGCTTGACATAAAGTTTTAGACTACCTATACAAAGGTCCAATAGCACTTTGTCTTAGCTTTAACGTTGTGTCCTACAGCTCCAGCAGACGGTTGACTCAGCCAAGAAGAAAATGGCTTGAAGTACATCTCATTTTGAGGCACAAGTAGGGGAGATCACCAGGTATGAACCTGGACTTTCAGGGACATTCACATAACAGGGATGGGCCAGGTGGTCCCATAATGCAATCTGTGAACAGAAAAGAACCCATCTGATGTGAACATTTGTCAAAATGAATCTCCTTTTAATTATCACATACTTTGCAAGCCTAAAGAGCTAAAAAAAAAAAAAATAAGAAAAGGGATTATGACCACCAGAGTCCATCTCTTTTCTGGGAAGTCTACAAGGGCTTCCTCTGATTCTTGCTCATTATTTTTCAACATCATACTTCTTACACACTATGCAATCCTAATAATGGTGCAATTTAATTTCAAAGCATACACAGTCTAGAGAAATAAACAAAAGGCTAATATTTTTGTTATAAATAAGAGGGACTGATGAAATTCAACTTTTATTGTACTTGAGACAGTATTCATCTCTTAAGTCAATATTTTGTGTATGCACTCCGTATGTTGTGTTTTACTTATTTGGTGAAATTGACACTCGCTTCAAGAGGATTTGCTCTATTATAGAATTTTTAACTCATAAGGAGGTTTAGTCAAGTGGTACACATCCAATTTTCCTTTTATTTTCTACTTTGGTTTTATTTGTTGTTTTATATATTATGTATCGGTAATACAGAATAAACAGATGCATTTAATCACCTAATGTGTGTGAGTATTTCCTGTAATCATAGTAATAATGATGCAGTAAAAGGCCATGCTTGGAGCATTAAAAAAAATTAATCTATTTTTATATTTTCAATTAAAACTGAAGTAAAGAGAGGATACAAACAAGCATAGCTTCACATGTGGGATAAACTTTTTCCCAAAGGCTGGCTAGTTAGATGGACAGACGGACGGACAGAGAGCGATGGATGGATGGATGGATGGATGGATGGATGGATGGATGGATGGATATCATGCATGCATGTAGAAAAGACTACAAGACTACAAAATATCCATATGTAGAAAACACAAAATGGAAAAAGACATATGCACAAGGTAGTAGGGAGTAGTACATTTATGATGAATCTATATACGTATGTGTGTATACATACATACACATCTAAGCAAGCACGCGTACATATTGCCGCAGAGTCACAAGGCTCTATTTTTACTGTATGGGGAGGAGTTGGACAGTCTGATAGCCTGAGGGATAAAGGACTTCCTGAATCTGTCTGTGCAGCAGGGCTGGGACAGCAGTCTATCTCTAAAGGAGCTCCTCTGCTTCATGATGGTGCCGTGCAGAGGATGGTCAGCATTGTCCATGATGGATAGTAGCTTACTGAGGGACCTTCTCTCTGCCACCGATGTAAGGGACTCCAGCTCTGTTCACAGCACAGAACCAGCTTTCCTCACCAGCCTGTCGTCACCCTGCATCTCCTCTTAATGCTGCCTTCCCAACACGCAACAGTACAGAAGCGGACACTACAGACTGGCAGAATATCAGCAGTAGTTTCCTGGAGATACTGAAGGACCTCCTCAGGAAGTAGAGCCTGCTCTGACCCATCCCGTAGAGGGAGTTCGTGTTCACTGACCAATCCAGCCTGTTGTCCAGTTGTATGACCAGTTATTTGTAGGTCCTTACCATCTCCACATTGACCCCCTCAATTGAGGCTGGCTTCATGGTAGGCCCAGATCTTCTGAAGTCCACTACCATTTCCTTTGATTTACTGATGTTCAGCTGTAGATGGTTGGATTTGCACCACATCACAAAGTCCTCAACCAGGCTCCTGTCCATCCTGCACATACAAAACGATTGCAGCGTCATCCGAGAACTTCTGCATGTGGCAGGTCTCCGAGCTATGTTTGAAGTCAGATGTAAACAGGGTGAACGGAACTGGAGAAAGCACAAGTGAAGTTGAAGATATCATCAGAAAATTGCTGATGCTAAGTTAATCAGCAAATTTCATTTGTTCCATGTGTGAGTCCTCCTGGTTCAATGAGACTAACATGTATAAATAAAGGTTGAATGAATGAAAAGGATACCTGAACCAAAGTACAGTTTAAGCTAGACCAACTTTAAATACAGACAATTTCCTGCAAGTAAAACTAGAAGACACCTTGGCTTGAAATTTTTCAAGTACAAGCTGCAAACTTTTCCACCAATCACAAAGCCGAGAAGAGCTATTATGTAACGTATCTTGCTCGGTAGCTCCGCCCATTTCCTTTGGGGGGAAAAGGTGGTCAGCTATTTTTTAGCTGTCATCTTTGTGTTTTTAGCCGTTAGCCATTACTGCTAAGTAACTACACAGGTCACTTATTTCACGAAAGTCTGTGCACGAATTGCCCGAACTTCCCGCTGTGAGCAAGAACAGTTAGACGTCATTTGAAAAGGTAAATTTTGGCTGACTGAGCGGTACTTTCTGTGCTGTCTGTCTGCTCCGCCGTAGCCGTAATGGCGGCTGTAGCTTCGTCAACTACGAAAAGGGAAGGGGTAGTTAGCTTAATGGCTCCTCGTATCGCTGACGTCTTTTGACGCGATAAGTTGCGTGCCAGTGACAGAGTAACATATATTAGCTCGCTGGGAAAAACTGCTCGTCCGTCCAGCAAACCAGATGAGCAAAACTTGTCAAGCGTTTTGCCCTGAAATTGTTGTTTTTAAAGCGTTAAAATATATCCGCTTAACTGGTTAGCTGGCGTAAACTCCTAGCTGCTGTAACGTTAATCTGCTCGATCTCTGAAAATAGCGGCTCTTTTTTTTTTTACAAGTGCTGCATGTTTGTTTATAATGAAGTTGCACGTTTTAATAAATTATGTATGAATTCAATAATAGTAAAAGTTTGGCGCTGAATGTTTCGCAACCCAAGTTAACGTTACTTGCGTTGACAAACGATGCAACTGAGCAAAAGAGGAAGTAGATTTTTTTTTTCCCCTTTGCATCTTGTGGAAACTTTTAGTTTTTACTGAATCAATAAACTTTTTTTTTTTTTTTGTTATTGTTATGAAGGTAAAGCTGGTAATGTCTGCTGATTAATAAGCTTTTTTTCAGCAGTTTTACATGCAGGAAGCGCCACGACAGACTTGTTACATGATCAGAGCCAATGTAAGACCATAATATTGATTTATTTCTTCCCAGTTACTATGGAAGAAGTACAACAGGGCAGCACTGAATCACGGCCAGCAACCATTTCCATGTCCTTCACACCCTCTCAGTTCTCACAGATAGCCCAGCAGGTAACTAATACTTTAGAAATATCAATAAAGGAAGTTTATATCACACTAAAAATACAAGTAATCGAGACATATATGAGTTTCAAGGGGGCCACCAGATTTAAACACTACGTGTATAATAAATAGAAACTAGAATGAAGCTTACTTGTATGTTGACCTTGTTTTCTACATCCGTGGTTCACAAACTGGTCTGACCCACAAAACAACAGTGGCAACATTTTGTGCTTGTTACAATGGTATTTTCACAGGATCAGAATTTAATTTGAAATAGCTTGAAAAAATATTCAAAGTGATACCAAGATTTTGTATCTTGATTTAAATAGGCAAATGCGCTTCAAAATGGGATCAATTAAAATCCTTTAAAAAATGGTCATATATTCTTCAGGTCTTAATAGATATTGTTATAAAACTTTAAACATCTAAAAAAAAATAGTTAAGTCAGGTCCTCTAGATGTTCAAAAAACAAACAAAAAAAAAGGAGTGTAGAAACGTTTCATCCGAAAGACTTCTTCAGTCTGAGGTGCTGTATTCAGCTCAGTCTTATAAATAGCACCTTCTCATAGTGAGTCAACCAGTTTGCTGCTGACAAACAAAACCAGCTGTTCAAACCAGCAATAATAGCATTGTAAGGGGGAAAACGTCCATTAAACAGGGGTAGCCTCCGTGTTCAACTGTTCCCCTCTTTTGCTATTATCACCCAGCCCCCTGTGAATAGCAAGCCACCATCAGGGTGCTAACGATCCATTGTTAGGCTGATGGTCCTCCTTAATCATGTGAACAGCTAGTTTTGGCTGTCAGCAGCAAACTGGTTGATCCACTATTAGAAGGTGCTATTTATTTACTGAGTTTAGTGCAGCTTCTCAAACTGAAGAAGTCTTTCGGATGAAAAACGAAACATTTCTACACTTTTTTGTTTGTTTGTTTTTGTTTTTTGAACGTCCAGAGGACCTGACTTAACTTCTTTTTTTTAGATTTTTCTACCTGGATTATTGGCCATGCATCAGAAAACTTTAAAAAATTGTTAATGAATGTATTAAACAGCATGCACTGATGTCAAATCAACCTATATTTAGTAAATTAGTAGTACTTTAAAACTAAAAATATCAGTTTAGCTTATTCAGAAAATTACTTTGTCTTTACAGGAAAATCCCAAGTGTGCTATCAGTTTCAGTTGTCTTGCAAATCAGAAGTAAAACTAAATAGATGATAAGTAGTATTTTGGGTATTGTACTTGTATGTCATCAATGCAGGCTCACAAAATTTGAACTCACTACCCAATTGTGGTTGTAACTGGGACCTTGAGTACACAGTTTTGTTCCACCTCATTTACCACATGTGATGCAGATGACAATAAAGACACTTGAACTTGAATAAAAATAGATTTTTGTGCGAACTATTCAGTGGGGTACTGAACCCAACTTTGTGAACCACCGATATGCCTCAGCAGTCCTTACAAACAAACAATAGAATATAAGAGAATATCAGGTTCTAAAATCAAAAGTTGTATTTAAAGTATTAATTAGGGTTATTTATTTTATAGCCTAGAACTATATTATTTATGTATTTTTAAATTAAGTGCCATAAAGACAAAACAATTTGGGTGGGCCTTGCCAAAAGTGGGTGCACCACACCACTTGACACAGCTACATGACACGTTTAACTCCTGTTGTAACGTAGTTCGTAACTGAACGTTGATCAGTAATGGTAAAAACAAAATCTTCCAACAACATTTACTGTTTCATTTGATGACAGTTGAATAAGTAAATGCCAGTTGGACCAGAGGTTGTTGAGTTTACACGTTATTTTCACTTATTTTAACTTTAAATATATATATTCTCTTTAAAAGAAAGTAAAATTTACAGCACCTCAAGTTCAGGATAATTAACTAAAGTTGTTTTATTCTCATATTATTGTCAGACTTATTCTAAAATAGTGTGCCACGGTGCTGCAGTAGCTTGGTGGTCAGTGCTGTGGTCTTGTAATCCCGAGGCTGCAGGTTTGAGTCCAGGCTGCATCGGGATGAGCGTACAATGTAAAACAGTTGCTAAATCTTACATGCTAGGTCGCTCGTTGTGTCGACTCATGAAGAAGGGAGCAGCTGAAAGAAAAACATTTTAAAATGACCGAGTCCATACTGAGGATTGTAGTTATTTTTTTATTTTTTAGGAATTCAGCAACTAATTATTTCACATAATAACAGTCATACAAGAAGTCTTGGTGGTAAAATAGTCTGTTTTTCCTAATAACCTTGAGGTGGGCGCTGTATATAATGTAAGGAATTTGGGTAGAACTTTCTTTTCAAGTGTTTCAAAAAAGCTAATCCAAATAAAGTTTTAGTAAATTGAGTTTTATGTAAACACATAATGAAATATATCTTTTTCTCCCCTCCATTTTATCTAGATGTCATCGGGTGGTTCTTCTGTGGCTGTTGTGCAGCTGCCCGGGGGTCAGTTCCAGGTTCAAGGGGTGATCCAGTCAGCACAGCCATCAGTCATTCAGTCCCTTCAGGTGCAGCCTGCACAGGTGAGAACAGCTGCTTTTCATAGCACTGTTGATTCTAAATATTATCTGCTTACAGTATACTCTACCAACAAGTGATTTTATAGGATTGCTAAGTACAGTCATAAGAAAATACAACCTATAAAGTTTCCTGTTTTTAAAACAGATTTAAACAACCAAACATTTGATAATCTTCTTTCGATGAACGAAGATCAAGATGATAAACTCATCAAACAAGTGATAAAATGTCATAAAGTTCTGACAGAATGTAAAAATATTTGCTTTAACCAATGGTTGAGCACAATATAAAATCATAGTCTTCACAGTTCGTAGATGTTTGTTCATCAGATCTTTTTTAATACCACTTTGGGCGATAAAATCTTCCTGCACGAAAACAACCATTTGTTATGCAGCTGTACAGAAATTTAACCAGACATCATAAGTGCAGGTGGATTGATCGAGTTCATCGCAGATATCTGCAATTCAGACTCTGTGTAAACATTCTTAAAACTCTACGTCAACAACTACTCTGAACATTAGACTTAAAACTTGGTTAAACAGACAAATAGGACTCGTTTTAAGCACGTGTCTGCATTCGATTTTTATGGCAATTTTATGTATGTGGCTCTAAGAAGAAACGGAACAAACGAATCCTTAAAGTCTGTAGTTGAAAGAATGATTCCCCGTTTACTCTTACTGACTGGAGTTGAGTTGTCTAAAACATTTTTGTGGTTCTTTTCATGATTTCATTAATAGAATAGGTCATTCACATATTGCTAGTGTGCTCCCTAACAACATACAATTTAAATTTGGGTTAATGGCTATGTGCTAATAAATAGAACCACTTTATTTGTTTAAAATAAAATAAGTAAATAAAATTTACTATTTACATTCCACATGAACCTCAGTCAAGCAAAGCTCCAATTTTCTGATGAACATATGAGCACAGATCATGCACTTTAGAAAATGTACTTATGTAAAAACAAGCTGTATGGCAATGTCCCCTATCACTAAGGATTTGAATAGTGAATGTTTGTAGTTTTGGAATGAAAGTCAGTATCTCATTTACTAACGGAAGGATGCATGGAGGATATTTCCAATTTCCCCTTTTTGCTCTGTAATGGGGGACAACAAATGCTTTTCCACAAAAACAGTTTACATGTTTGATGTAAAGTACTTTTGTCTTAATAAGTTGTGGACATTTTTGGGGCGGCATCAGGGGCTCAGCAGTCTGTAGTTTTTGGTTCAGCTGGGTAAAGCTTCTGGGCCTTTTGTCTCTGTCTTGAATCTTGCTGATATTTTTGTTGAATGTTTTCATTGTGATCATTGTAAACAGTATTTATGTATGTAGTAGATCACGTGGGTACGTGCCACTAGGTGTATGACAAATATATGAGATATATATTGATACAATATTCACGAGTTCTTCATCTTTCTGACTGTGTAATGCCGTGCATTGAATTTAACAGAAATGCGAACGAGAGACGTTATTATCTTTGACCCATCAAAATGAATGGAGTCATTTATTTTCAGAATCAAAGTTTAACATCAAACATTTACATTAATTTGGCAAAATATGAAAATAATAACAGACAAGTTTCACAAATAATGAACTTCAAATCACGCGGCGGTGATTTGAGGACTTTGCTTCAGATATTTCTAAAATATCTGTACTGGTTTTGTGAGAGAGAGAAGAGTTTAAGATGAAGTGGAGATTTATCTTACAGAGAACTATGTGAGGGAATTAATATCTGTAGACCAGAACAAAAGTGCACGCTTCATCAGATTTCAGCTCGCCTCCGGTACACTTAGTCGAAGAAGAGACCGTTACCTGGTGATGATAGATCAGCTCGATAGGGAATCCTCCAGACCTTTCAGCGTCTCCGTTGAGAGCTGCTGAAATCCTTAGATAGTCGTGCGTGGGTTGTTCAAACAGAGGTTATAATTCCAAACGTCTCTGACTCTCCATGAATTCTAACAGAACCCTTCAGAACTTCATCTCTGGAATTCTTTTCCATTCTCAATTCTTTCTCAATCTAAATGAATTCTCCATGAATTCTTTCAGATTCTAACATGAACTGGGAAGTTGCCACATTTTATTTGGGTCGACTTCCGGTTCAATTTAGAGCTTTCTGATTCGTGGATGTACCAGAAAGAGGTGTGGTTTTTTGACGTAAGTTATTATCAAAAGTCAAGGATTGTTTTCAACATACAGAAAAGATTATTGCAGTCGGCCAGACTTCGTAGAGTCTCACACTTGGTAATCTTTTCAAATAGTAAAACATGACATCCCATTTTCAGTAAACATTTAGTTGACCGAAGCTTCAACTTTCACATACTTACGACAGCTTGCTCATTGAAGACAGAAAATCAAGAAATGCATATTAACCTGATTTCTTCTTTGAATGAGGAATAAAAATCATTACTTACTGTTTATGTAAAATAAAATGAGTAGTTCTTTTTCAACCTGTAAGCATTGAATGGAACTAACACAATTTGATTATCAAACATTTGTAAAACAGTAAATGATTATAGAGAATTGTCTTTTCTGCTTGATTAATTCAAGAAAGAAAGTCACCAGATGGCTCAGACTGTATTCAGATCAATGAAAATAACAGTCTCTGTCCATCTGATAGATTTGAGGTCATCAGGGTCAGATCAGGTTCACTACATGTATATGCTGGTATTGCACAGTAAATCCATCTAGGAAGATAGAATCTATCTTGTAGCTAGAGCCTGTTTATATTACTTTATGCTCTTGTTCCACCTCTAGCCCCAGGGCACTGATAGTGAAGATTCACAGGACTCATCTGATAGTGGATCAACAGCCCAAAAGACAAGAGAAATACTGGCAAGACGGCCTTCATACAGGTAATGAAAACATGGAAAAATTAGGGGAAATTTTTCTGTATTTCATAGATGGTAATTTTGAGCAATCACCTGACTTTATTTGTCTTACAGAAAAATCTTAAATGACCTTTCATCAGAGGAAACATCACACATCGAAGGGAAGGATGGCAGCCCTTCATCCACAGGAATGACAGGTGTTACAGTACCAACCACCCCAATCTACCAAACCAGCAGCGGCCAGTACAGTAAGAACTGCTACTGTCAAATTTTGTACAAAAATTTGGACTATCAACAAAGTAGGAGCCAACGATCTTTCGAGTTTTATTGTTCAAGTTAGACATTTGTAATTCTGTTTTTGTTTTCTGTAACTGTGGAGGACAGTATTATTTTGTATTACCTAGTAGAACCTAGCCATCGGGAATGTGGTTTTTAGTTGTGCCTTACCACGCTCTGATTTTGTCTTTGTGATTATATTAGTTACCATTGCTCCTAATGGCACAATCCAGCTGGCAACGCCAGGGTCGGAAGGCATTCAGGGACTCCAGGCTGTCACTATGGCTAACTCTAGTGGAGCACAGCAAGGCCACACCATCCTTCAGTATGCCCAGACACCTGATGGCCAGCAGATACTAGTGCCTAGCAATCAGGTCGTCGTACAAGGTGAGCACATACCTAATTTTACTACTGTTATGTTTTTATTTTTTTTAAATGGATGCATCTGGCAGCAACAACAAATGTGTCAGGTTACATTCAGGCCAAACTTATATGAATTCACAAAATGCTCTTCACTAATTTGTTCCAGCTAGAAAAGCTGAAAACTAAAACAGACTCTGACAAAAGGCAAAATAGCTTGCAAATAAGTAGTGCTGTACAGAAGAAAAAAAAAAAACCTCTGATATTCGCTTCATTACTTCTAGCTTCACAGTGTGCAGCTTTGTGCTAATTTTGAAGTTAGCTTCATAAATGTGAAGACAGATGAACAGCAGCTTCATGTGAAAAAGGTGTAAAAATCGGACTGCGCTTACGCTTGCTTTTTTGTTCAGTTTCTCAACACAGTTCAGTTGTCTTCTTCTGTCGAGGTGTTAAACTATAATTCATTGTACTTCTCAATTCCTCTATTTAGAATAGATTCGTATAGCCAGTAACAAAAATTGTGCAGGAGAGCTCATGACACGCTTTTCTACATTGTTTTTGCACTCAGGTGCAGGAGGAGAAGTGCAAACATACCAGATTCGCACAGCACCCACAAATGCCTCCATTCCTCAGACTGTAGTTATGACCTCTCCTGTTGGACTGTCCCAGACCAAGAGTGATGATCCAACAATGAAGAGAGAAATCAGGCTTGCAAAAAACAGGTAAATGCTTCAATTCCAGGTAATAGAATGTAAGCGACCACAGCAACGCTTGTTTGTGGATGTTTGAAGATTTCTGACTGAACAGTTTCTGCAGTAAAATAATTACACAGTACTGAATTAAAAAAAAACAACAAAACATTTTAATAGTACAGAATGTATTGGATGTCATGGAAAATAGGTGAAACTGGGAGTACCCAAACATGATTTGCATATTTATTTGTCGTGCATACCTCATGAGTTGAGACATTTTTGACCATCAGTGTTTGATAGTAAGAAGGCCTGAAGGAAAACTGAAGTAATATTTATAAAACACTCATTGGTTATCACTACATCCGTGATAAGGGACCAGCTAATGTCAGAAGACTGCTTTAATCCAGAAACCCTGCAGATAGCTCTAACTGGGAAGAGACAGTGAGGCCTTTGCATTACAGAATGTGGTAAAAACATGCCATCTTATCTGATTTATTTATTTATTTTTCCCCAAATCCAAAATATTTTTTCTGTTCAGGTTCAGAAATGTAAACTAAATTTGTTCATAATCTTTTCCCCCTTATTAACAACACCTCAGATATCTAGCTTTAAACACATTTTAAAAGTGTTTAATATTCACTTCAGCATCTAGTGACCGACTCTGCCCGTGTCACGTCACATGGATGGGAGCACATCTAGTGTTCATGCTGATAGGTCATAATTGTTATTGTAATAATTGCGCCACTCGGGGTGGCTGCATGTTGGAGTAACTCTGTTACCTTCATTCTGAGATTTTGCTTTTGGAAACTTTAATTCCTCTATTTCTGGATGTAAATTACTTTTTTTAATGATTTCTTCCTCTGGTATCGAATGCTGTGCAGCTGGAAGGATTTTTACTGAAACTTTTTTTTTTGTTTTAGACATTTGTTATGATGCGTAACCATGGCAACAAGGTGTTTGTTTTTTTCCAACCGGAAGTAGATGATGAAAAGCTCAAATAATATCTCTGCGACAGCCCCAAATATCAAATGACTTGAAAAGGAGGCCCTGTAGATGCATTATCGTCTCCCTGCTGGCTGTGCTTGAGCGCCTGACCACTGAGATCCTGGAAATGGCAGAAAACGTGGCTCGTAACAGTAGAAGGACCGGGATCATCCCCTGGCACCTGCAGCTAGCTGTCTGCAGCGACGAGGAGCTCGGCAGGCTGCTGGGAGGAGTGACCATCGCTCTGGGAGGAGTTCAGCCCGGCATTCGGGTGGTCCTGCAGCCAGGGGGAACCGAGAGGCCAGCCAAGTCTGTGGATGGCGTCTGCGGGCAGTTTCTTCGGATCCGGATCTTCGGATCACTGTGGGACAGACCTTTAAAAATGATCCTTCCTGCCTGCAGCCATCAGCATCTATAACATCTCAGTGAAACAAGGATAACAAGTTACAACAAGATTTAATTTCCCTTTGGGATTAATAAAGTTTTTTTTGTTTGTTTTTTTAATAAGAGTGATTGGGGCTGCGTGAGTGAACACAGTTCACCTTTTCCTGACATCAAAACATGTTTAAAAACCATGTCATAAACAGACGTTCTGAAATTAGCATTAATTTCTGGACAAAAAGAAACAAGATTAATTGATTTTAGGGGTGCACCGATTGCAGTTTTCGGCCGATCACCGATTTCTCAAAAGTCTGACCTGCCGATTCCGATTTTGTTTTCTATGCAACACTGTCAGCATAAGGTCACAATGTAACTTCAATTTTCCAGTCTTATTTTATTGAAAAACATACCCTTGAACAATATCCCAGAAACAACCTTGTTTTAACTGGCCATGAGGCAGTGCTCTGAATATAAATCAAGTTCAGACTATTGTTGTTAAAACTAAAAAAAATCGGTTTCTCATGCAAGTATTGGCCGCTTTCCCAAAATTAAGGAAATTGGGTCCGATAATTCAGCCGGCCGATTTATCGGTGCACCCCTAATTGATTTATCTGCAGAAAATGAGGTAACTCAGTCTAGTGTGAAGCTAAAGTCTGCTCAGTCAAACAAAGCCAACTAGTAGCCTAATTATACTAAATGTACAACAGTCTGCAGGAGTCTGTGTATTAATACACCTTCATGTTTTGTAGCTTGAAGACTTGTACCCTGCAAGGTAGCAGTTGTAACTAAACATGACACAAAAAGAAAAGCATTTATTCAGCTTACATTAGTGGTTTTACTTTCCCATTGAAACCATTTTAAAAGCACACTTGGTGTGAAAACGGTGTAATTTGTTCATGTGATGAATGTAGCAGCTGTAACCGTACTTTGTGACAAACTGGAGTTGCATTAATGAGTAATCTTTCAGCACATGTTCCCCTCTTTCAGAGAGGCAGCCCGTGAATGTCGACGGAAGAAAAAGGAATACGTAAAATGTCTGGAAAACCGCGTCGCTGTCCTTGAGAACCAAAACAAGACTCTGATTGAAGAACTTAAAACGTTAAAGGATCTTTACTGCGTCAAAACGGGATAACCTTCATGTGTGCAGACCAAGGATTGAGACGGCGTCAGAGTGGCACACTTCAGTCATTTGGACAAGTCTGGGTTTCTGGGAACACTTCATTTCAGGCTGAGAGTCTCCAGTTTGTTGTTGTTTTTTGTTTTTTTTGTTTTTTACTCTGATATAAAAGTGACTCATGACTGTGAGACTTACTGGACAAATTGGCCATCTTTTTTCCCCAACTGCTGTTTTTTTAAGAGAAAAAAAAAATGCTAATGCTATAACATTTATAGTTGTGTACATTTTTAATACTGGGAAGTTTGAAATTATGAGCTTTAATGTTGAGTCTCAGTTTCCAAATGTAACCCTTTCCTTTCTTTTGTCTTTTATAAACGTTGCTGTTGGGGCTGGTTATTCTACCAGCAGCTGCAGAGTTTTAACTATATAATTATCACACATAATTTCTGTTTATCATGCGAACCAGCAATTTTCCCCCTTTCCTGCAAGGAGGTGTTACAATTGTCATTCCTTATATTTGTGCAATGGAGTATAAAGGGTAACAGAAGAGATGACATTACGTGCGGCGTGTTTGGTTGTTACTTGGCAGTTTCTTAGACAATCATGGGGATTAAAGCACAGAGTCCAGGTAATATTTATTCTGTGCATCTTGGGAATGAACAAGCTGTATGAAATGTTGCTGTTTCTGTGAGTAAATAAATATATTTTCACTCAAAATAGTGTTTGGCTGCTGTAACAGTTGCATAATATGGAACTTGATACTTGTTTTTTGCACTGTGTGTAAACTTCTGATTGATTTTTTTCTTTATCGTTTTACAGATGAACCTTATGGTCTAAACCTGTAAACTGTACTTTTAAGTAATTATCCACAGAGTTATAAAGTAGAACTATAAAATAGCACAACACATCACAAACAAACCGTTTCCCCTGCAGTCATTTGATAGAATGTCCCATGATGTGTGGCCTTATCATTAAAGAAACTTCTGGAGCCTCTACGTGTCTTAGGTGAAGCTCAGCAAAACCAGCCGCCTCCAGGTCTTTCCATGTAGTTCTGGTTACAATGCATCCATCCCCAACGTAGTACCAAAGAGGCTCAAATACGCACTGAAGAAAGTACGTCCACGTTGACGAATCAGAGACGACATGCTCCAAAAAGTAGAAGGCTCCTCCCTGAAAGAACCAACAAACAATGATTGATTGTCCTGTTTTGCTGCCACAATAAATCTCAACTACTACTACAGTTACAACTGTACAGTTGCCAACTACTATGTTTGATTACATACAAAAAAACAGCCAAAGTGACTGAAAATACACCAACAATGGGGACATCCATGGAAAATCTGCTTGGGATGGAGAAATCTGACTGTTTATGTATTGGTACATATTCACGCTCAGATATTTGTTGCAGATAAGTTGTTTCCAAAGAGCACAGATTTACTTGTCAGAATTATTTCTATCAGTATATCTGGAAAATTAATGTAGTAAACTTTAAGAAAATGCACTTTGTGATATACTTTAGAATAATGTTTTTTACAGTATATATGGTTTCAAAGTTCACAGTGAATACTTTAACCTTACAGTCACAGTCAGTTTATTTGTGTGAATATTTATGAAGTATTCACACTTGAGATTCATTTTTCTTCCGTACATTTTTCTGCATCTTTCTCGTTCTACAACTTTTGTGCTATTTCAACAAGTCGTATATCAAAACATTCAGGAGATATGACTTTTGGTATTGGTGCAACTTTAGCTTTTTTGAAATATTTAGCCTTTTCTGCCATTTCTTTTCTCATGGAAAATGAATTGATCTTATTTTACATCCCTCTTATCTTCAGATCTGTTGACAACCTTTTACTGCTCCTTTCATGTTTTGTTTTGCTTCAGCTTCTTTCAGCTTCCTTGTGCAAATGTAAACTTTTTTTCAGCTGTTCTGTGCTCCTTTCAGAGTATTTCGGCTAACTACATGTACAACATTTTTGTGCTTCTTGTAATGTCTTAATTTCAGCTTGTTATACTACTTTCAGCTTGTTTCTGCAAATTTCAGCTTTTTCTGCTATTGCAGCCACTGTTTTATTCTAATTTTAGCTCTTTTTTTTGGCTATTTCATATCTTTTGCACTCATTTCAACTATTTTCCAGCCTAATTCAGCAAAAATGTGCTTTCGCTGGCAATTGAAGCTTCTTTCTGCGTTTTTTTTTTTTTTTTTTTTTTGTGGCAAATTTCAGCTGGTTTTTTGCTAATTTTAGCTTTATTTAAACAATATCCATTTCTTTTAGCTTTTTCTTCTAGTTTCATCTTTTTCTGCTCTTTCAGCTACTGTTTAACTTTTGATGCTAATTTGAGCTTTTGCAGCTAATGCCACTTTTTTTTATATAGCTCATTTCTTTCTGCTTCCTTCTGATAGTTAAAGCTTCTTTTGTCTTTTCAGTTACTTTTAGCTATTTGTTTTAGCTAATTTTCTAATTGTTGTGCTCATTTCTGCTTATTTAAACCTAATTCAGCAAATATATTATTTCTGATTTTTAGGTTTGTTCTTCCATTTCAGCTACATTTCAGATTTTTTTCGTTTTAGCTAATTTTCAGCTGTCTCAGCAAGTTTTTCTGCAATAAGCATTCACGCTGCATTTTCTCAGGAAATGTAGTTTCTTGAGTTTACAACAGCAATTGCTTTTTACCTCATTTAGGGATTTGCTATTACATGCATGCATATGAATTTTAAAATTTTACAACCCTGACTTCATATGAAATACTACAAATGGTGCATAATACTTACAGTATATTAAACACTTCAGGGACCTCAAATAAACTGTTTTTTTCTAGTACTGAATACGATGTAAACTTATTTTATAAATTGTAAATGCCTTTGTGATGACTCCAGTCTTGCCAAACAGGTAAGTACAACAGAAATAAGAAACAATGTTCAGCCCGCGTGCGTCGCGTAAAAACATACATTCAAAAAGATCCTACTGTACGTGAAGGCAGCAGGATGAGACTCACGGTTCTGAGCACGCGGCGGACCTCCTGCAGGACTTTGGGCACGTCTCTCACAGAGCACAGGACCAGTGTGCTGACAACGACGTCCACAGACCCGTCCTGTATGTCCCTCATGTCCTCCCCGGAGACAGTCAAAAACGTCTCATAAGTCAGGTGCTTGTTGTCCTCCATGCTCCTCCGCAGGTACCGCTCGAAGTGCGGGTTCGGGTCAGTGCAGGTCACCGTGCAGCCGTGGGGGTAAAACTTGAGGTTGGCTCCGCTTCCACAGCCGATCTCCAGCAGGCGAAGAGAACCGTCGGAGTTTGCGAAAGTCGCCAAGTTTCGAAAGAGCTCCCGCTTGGTTTTGTGCATTTTGTTGTTGTATGAAGAGGTGATGTTGTAGACGAGCAGGGGGAACAGACGTCTGTACGCACGACACAGTCCCACAAAGTCCAGCAGATAAAAGGGGAAACTCAACGCCAAACACAAGAATCGACATAACTTTATGAAACAAAAGAGGATTCTTCCCTGAAAACGTCCCATGTTTAAACTTTTTGGTAAATTCAGCATGAAAATACTTGTGGATTAAAAGATTATCCTGAAGACATTTCCGGCGCCATGTCTTTCTTTGACCACAAGATGGCGCAAACGGACCCGCGTTAACAGGAAGGAGGAGTCTTATTTATGAAAATGAACGCTCTTACTGTTTTCAGTTTGTTTATTGTGTGAATGTTTATGGAGCATTCACACTGTTGTGATCCATTTTTCTTACGTGCGATTTTCGTTCCACAATTTTTGCTATTTCATCAAATCGTGTCAAAACGTTCAGCTTCAGGATAATCCTGCTGACTTGGTATTGGTGCAACTTTAGCTTTTTGAAATATTTAGCCTTTTCTGCCACTTTTTCCTCATAAAAAAATGAATTGAGCTCATTTTACATCCTTCATATCTTTAGATCTGTTTACAATCGTTTACTGCTCCTTTCACATTTTGTTCTGGTTCAGCTTCCTTGTGCAAATTTTTTTTCCCAGCTAATTTCAGCTGGGGTGGGGGGTGGGGGGTCAGCTGACTTGTGTTCCTTTTTGATTCTTTCTGCTAACTACAACATTTTTGTGCTTCTTCTAACTTTTTTCTGCTAATTTTAGTGTCTTATGCTTCTTCCAGCTTATTTCTTCAAGTTTCAACTTTTTCTGCCATTTCAGCTACTATTTAGCTGTTTATGCTAATTTTTAGCATTCTTAGCTAATTCCACATTTTTTGCACTGATTTCAACTTTTTTCAGCCTAATTCAGCAAAACTGTGTTCTCGCCACTTCCTTCTGCTATTTTAAGATTCTGCTTTTTTAGCTACTTTTCAGCTGTTATTTGGCTAATTTCTGCTTTTTTTCAGATAATTTCCACTTTTTGTGCTAATTGCTGTTGCTTTCAGCCTAATTGGGCACAATTGGCTCTCTTCACTTCCTTTTGGTAATTTAAGATTCCTTCTGCATTTTTAGCTACTTTTGACCCTTTTTTTATTTCAGCCTCTTTTTTTTTTTTAGCTAATTTCCTAAATTTTGTGCTCCTTTCTGCTTATTTAAACTTAATTCAGCAAATGTCTTCTTCCTGTCGTTATGCATGCTCAATAATCCAGGTAGAAAAATCCAAAAAAGTTCAATCTGGTCCTCTGGACATTCAAAAAAACGAAAAACAAAACAAGCAAAAAAAATATAGAAACGTTTCGTCTCTCATCCGAGTGACTTCCACAGTCTGAGGTGCTGTATTCAGCTCAGTCTCTGAGCTCAGTACTGAGGAAGTCTCTCGGATGAGAGACGAAACGTTTCTATATTTTTTTTGCTTGTTTTGTTTTTCGTTTTTTTGAATGTCCAGAGGACCAGATTGAACTTTTTTGGGTGTGTTCTTCCTGCTTTCTTTTTTTAACTTAGGCTTGTTCTGCCATTTCAGCTGTTTTTCAGCATTTTTCTGCATTAAGCATTCACACTGCATTTTTGTAGGAAATGCAGTGTCTCTAATTGTTGTCATTATTTGCACATTTAATGTTTTGACTGATTCTAAATCCATGACAACACAGGTAGTACATTTTTATACCAACTTTACAATGTTCAGTACAAATTTTATCCTTTCAATTTGTTTTATTCTCCATTTTAATCATCAGTATTTTTTTGTTAATTTAAGTATATATGCAGTAACTATGTATATATTTGTACTTCTACATTACCTCAAGTGAATATAAACCTGAAATACACAAATGTAACAAAACAAACAATGTAATGAGGTGTGTGTCGACCTGAAAACCTGAAGATGTGAATTAATTATATCCATGAGTTGAAGTCACACAGATGACGCATGCTCAATAATCCAGGTAGAAAAATCTAACAAAGTTAAGTCAGGTCCTCTGTACGAATTAAAATTAAAAAAAATTTGAAATGTTTCGTCTTTTATCCAAAAGACTTCATCAGTCTGAGGAGCTGCACTAAACTCAGTCTTATAAATAACCCTTTCTCATAGTGGATCAACCAGTTTGCTGGTGACAGCCAAAACTGTTCACATGATAAAGGAGGACCATCAACCTAACGACTGATCGTTAGCGCTCTGAGTTTCATGCACTTGTATCTCACGTTAATTTCTAACGATCGGGTCGTTTTAGATCGGGAACGCCCAAAATGTATTAAAACACACAAAACCTAATGAAAATGAGCAAGTCAAGATGACGTGTGAACAAAATCATAGAATCCTATGTCGGATTGAAAAAAAAAAAATTTGTAGAGAGTAAATCCAACAATTTTCATTCAGGTCATCTGGACAGTTTTATTCTTTTTTTTGTGTGTGCTGAAACGTTTCACCTTCCATCCAGAAGGCTTCATCAGTCAAGGAAACACACAACACAAAACTAATTCTTCCCCCAACAGCTTACTGCAAAGTGGAATAAACCAGTTACTGTATGTTGGTGCTAAGATGGTCTCTTTGGCACGCCCCCTCCTCCGGAGGTTTTCTTGACTTGTGTTTCCTTGACTGATGAAGCCTTCTGGGTGGAAAATGAAACGTTTCAGCACTCAAAAAAAAAAACTGTCCGGATGACCTGACTGAAAATTGTTGGATTGCATATCTGGATTATTGAGCATAGACTTTGTTGGTCCAGAGAGTAAACTTCTCAAACAGTCCACAGTGTAATAAAACGGTGAAAATATTTTCTTTGACGTGAAATAGAGGTGTGGTTTTATATGGGCAGCCCGTTAATGCCAGGAATGAGTTGGGAAACAATAAGTACACCAACATTTTTTAATATAGTTTTTAATCAGAGTAAAAATAGGACAGTTCAGTTTATTTATATAGCGCCAAGTCACAACAGAAGTCTTCTCAGGGCACTGAACAGAAGACAGAATTCCACGTGTAAAACTGGTTCACAGATGATCTCTCGTGTTAGGTTTTACAAATATGTCAGCAAGCAGGATGAGGGAATACAAAAATAAGGATAAAAAGTAGTATTGTGCTCTCTACATAAATACAGCACATTCTTTCCAAAATCTCCCAAAAGACTGAAGAAGTTTGTTGCAATACAAAAATTAAGATCAGGACTGAAGCCACAGCTCTCGTCTCTAACGCTGGCGATCATTGTATGCACTGATGGTGATTAGAGCTCGTCATAAATCTGATGAGACTTCATCTACTTCACCGCACGGCCTAAAATGTGTGGTTTGAGAACAAAGATGAGCGGCGCTTCGACGTGTTCCAGTTGGAGGTCCGAAAATCCAGCTTCCTCCAGGTGCTTCCACGTTGCTCGGGTGACAACACATCCGTCACCGATGTAGTACCAGGCGGGCTGAAAGACGTGCTGGAAGAAGTACGACCACGTCGAGGGGTCTGCAACCACGTGCTCCAAGAAGAAGAAGGCTCCACCCTGTGAGACAAACATCTGTCAGATGGACAGCGTCCACTCCACTTCACGTACAGTACCTTTGTTAATCTGAAACCTGTGACTCATCTTTGCTTTGTCATGTTTATGTCTTGAATGTAACTGTATGGAACTATTACTGGTGTCCAATCCCTTTCATTTGCAGGCCAAAAAAAATTAAGATAAAAAAAGAAAGCATATATTATTTGGTTATTGTTTTCTTAATTCTAAATAATATAAGCACTACAAAAGGACAAAAATATACCAGTTTTGATGGAGAAGGATTTCAAAATTGTTGTAGATGCAAAATATAAAAGCATTGATCATGTGAAAAAATAAAAGAGCATTGAAAAAAAAAAAAGGTTTGTAAGCTCAACCATCCAGGTAGATAACAAGAACAAAGGTTAGCTCGTGTCATCTGGACCAGTTTCTTTAAGTGGGATGTCCAGTTGTCCGTGTGTGAGAGGCGGGGGACACCCTGGACAGGTCTCCAGTCATATTGGTTTTAGTTTTCTTGTGCTTGGAAAATACATTTTTAGTCTTAGAAGCAAATATGTAAAATGGATTTGGTGTAACCCTGTCCTTGAATAAATCAACTGCACTCATTTTCTTTAAAAATGTCAGATTTGTTGAACAATAAATGAACAAAAAAAGTACAAAAATATGTTTAAAAACAAAACATTGGTTTAAAGATTATAGATTTTTTTCTTACCTGTTTTTCTTTA